CTTTTTAAAAATGCAAAAAAAGTATTTCATTTCTATTTAACTTTGACTTGTTTTTATTCCATCTTTTCATTGTTCAGAAAAAAATTAATAAATGGAAATCTACCCAGATACATGGAGCCCATGGATAGAGTGAATTTGATTGTGGTTGATGAGAAGTGTAAATATAAACCATTCTGACATCCTGTTGGATTGAACTCACTCCATCACACCTGTGTGACACAAATCACATCACACTTCAGCAGGACAGACTGTGGCACAGTGATTCACAACCAGGGGTACAAATACCCCTTGAGTTAAGCGAGCATATTACAGGGGTACGTGGAAAAATTTCCCAGGTGCTCAAAAAAATAAGTAAAAATCACAATGCGGAATTTATGGATTTGACACAAAATTGAATCCAGTATAAAAAGCAGAATCTCACAGAATTTGCTCATTTCGGTGAGTTTCTGATGTATTTTGGACGTTGCTGTTTTCTGCACCTGCCATTACCTGGTTTACTTATTTAATTACTTATTCACTTTCAAGGCAACGTTTTTTATGTTTATCTTTAATCTTTCTTTGAAAAGAATAAAATGCCTGAGAATTAAATGTTTTATGGGGTTAAATAAATAATTTTCATTTGATAAACAGTTGTTGTACATTATAGTTTTGCAGAATCGTCATTACGTTTGACTGAAGGGGTACGTGTGGTATTATAAAATGGTTTTGGGGTAAACAAGTCTAAAAAGATTGGGAACCACTGGGGTAGAAGATGTAGCCCAGAATGAAGATGACCGTGGCTGAAACAAGTAGTCCAGCCTGGCCCTTACCTTCCCATGCAGTTCCGCTCAATTTTAATTTCCCTTACCAGGCTAAGTCTGGTCAGTTAATTACAATTTTTTTTGAAATTTTAATTTAAAATTATACTCATTATTGACTTTAGAAGAAAAATTGTGTCTCTCTCTGTGTGTATGTGGGGTGGGGGTGCTATAAACCCTGTGGCACAGCACAAGATTTTATCTTTAATGGCCTTTTTTATTGTGTTCATTACTTTTATACTTTAAGTAGTTTTAAAACCAGTACTTTATACTTTTACTTGAGTAAAAAGCTCGAGTTAGTACTTATACTTCCAAAAAAGTATTTTTAAACCCTAGTATCTATACTTCTACTTAAGTAATGAATGTGAATACTTTTGACACCTCTGGTAAAGCCTTAAACAAAATCACTTTTACTAGGACTGAACAGGAGATCGACAGGCGGATTGGCGCAGCGTCTGCTGTAAAGCGGGCGCTGTACCGGTCCGTCGTGGTGAAGAGAGAGCTGAGTCAGAAAGCGAAGCTCTCGATTTACCGGTCGATCTACGTTCCTACCCTCATCTATGGTCATGAGCTTTGGGTCATGACCGAAAGAACGAGGTCCCGGATACAAGCGGCCGAAATGAGTTTCCTCCGCAGGGTGGCTGGGCTCTCCCTTAGAGATAGGGTGAGAAGCTCGGTCATCCGGGAGGGACTCAGAGTAGAGCCGCTGCTCCTCCACGTCGAGAGGAGCCAGTTGAGGTGGCTCGGGCATCTGGTAAGGATGCCTCCTGGACGCCTCCCTGGTGAGGTGTTCCGGGCACGTCCCACCGGGAGGAGGCCCCGAGGACACGCTGGAGGGACTATGTCTCTCGGCTGGCCTGGGAACGCCTTGGGGTTCCCCCGGAGGAGCTGGAAGAAGTGGCTGGGGAGAGGGAGGTCTGGGCCTCCCTTCTGAAGCTGCTGCCCCTGCGACCCGACCCCGGATAGGCGGAAGAAAATGGATGGATGGATGGATGGATGGATGGATGGATGGATGGATGGATGGATGGATGGATGGATGGATGGATGGATGGATGGATGGATGGATGGATGGATGGATGGATGGATGGATGGATGGATGGATGGATGGATGGATAGGACTGAACAGAAGCTCAACTTTTGTGCACCTGTATTTGCCTGCAAATAAAGCTTATAATGATGTCTGTAGGCCTATATATCATCATCGTTCATTTGATCAAAAATAAAATGACCGATAAAAACCTCAAGAACAGTGTTGGATATTTTAAACAGGGAAATTTAGCCATTCATCCTGCTTGGTTCTACAAATCAAAATAGCACTTTTAACAGCATTGTACTTTATATCATATTCCACTCCATCTTCAGTACAGATATAAGGAGCTGTTGTAAACCAGCACTACTTGGACTAACTCAGTGTTTCACCCAGCATACATCCAATGTTACAGGCTCTCAGCTGTGTAGAAAGATCATCAACATATACATTAAACAAAAGTGGAGACAATATCCCACCCTGTCTAACACCACTGCTAACACCAAAAGGGGAAGAAATACTATTTCCCCATTTAACCTGCGTCTTCTGATGAGCATACCAGTAAGAAAGAATCCTGACAATATATCCAGGAACTGCCATCTGATTAATTTATTAAAAGTTTTCTGTGGTTCACTCTATCAAAAGCTTTTGAGGCATCAATAAAACACATAAGAATAGATGAGTTTTTGTCTCTATACAAATTCAGTATTTCTTTAAGTGCACACGTCAGTGCCATGCTTTGGTTTGAACCCAAATTAATTATCCTGGAAAGTAATGAACCCACTTATTCTATCAAACAAAATTCTTTCCAGCACTTTTGATAAAACACTGGCTAGTGCAACTCGTCTGTAATTATCCAGGCAACTTGTTTTTCCACCCTAATCTTTATTAAACAGGGACGAGCAAAATAGACAGCATTGTATCTGGGAGTATGCCATGGATCATCAGGACCTGAAAGACAGAGCGCTAAGTGAGGAGCTAATCTTAAACTAGCATGTTTTCACTGTGATCTAATCCACAAGCTTCATTATCAGAATGTCCATGCACTTCATCAGTCAACATATGTTCATGTTTACCAGTGTCGCATTAATCCTCATATTGTTAATTTTTTATGCAATTAAACAATGCATTATGCTGTCTCCACGCTGCAATATTATCTGCAATATGCAATAAGGTAATGTAAATTCAGGAAACAGTAAAATGTAAAAGCAACACACGGAAATAAAAAGTCGTGGGAAAAAATCATATAAAAAATAATAATAACGGACACAAACGCATCTACAAGTAAAAGGAAAAATTAAACAATACATATTTTTTAAAACAATAAAATGTAAATTATGTCCTAAAATATATAATTTATTGGAACTAAGCTGGAAAATAAATATGAAAGTCAATTAAACTGTAAAACATGAAGAAAAAGTTCTCCTTTTTTAATATAATTGGTGCTTATTGGTCACTTAATATATATCTGCTTTTATTTCTAATTATGTCATATAAAATCATGAATAAATGTATATTTTATCTTTTTCATCTTTTTATTTTCAGATAATTTTGATCCTTACTCCAGATCAGTAGATGGCGGTAATGCCCTCTTTCCGTTGTTTGCTGACCACCGTCAAAYACAAAAAGAAGAAAAGAACTAAATGGACCAATCATAATGTGACACGTCAGTTCTACTCGGTCTTCTTTCAGCGCTCCGACTAGCTYTGTTCTTACCTGAATTAAATGATTTCTATGAGTTTTAAAAGCAACAGGAAATAAAAAGGTAAGCGTCATAGTTAATAAGTGAAAATGCGGCTTCTTATTTTTTCCCCCGAAGGCTTCTCTGTCAGCAGTCCGTGTGTGACCTGTTGTGGCTAACAGTGAAGCTAGTGAAAGTTAGCCGTTAGCTTTCAACTTTCTACGGACCATTTTCATTCAGTCTGACACAACATCTGCGATTAAAAGGTGGGATTGAGCCCCTGCTAATACCTTTTTACACTCGCAAATTGAGCCGTTTGTTTTTACGCATATATATATATATATATATATATATATATATATATAAATAAGCTGAAATCATGCATTGCTACACATACTAATGTAGCAACGCTCACCATGCTGCAGATGTGTAATTAAACCCGAAAGGGAAACGTTTGGAAATCAACACAAATAATGTCCCGTGGCATTGTGTTTAAGAAAATGGTAATATTCTCCGTGGAGTTAAACTAGCAAAGCGCCAGTCATTAATCTTTAAATAACCACATCACCTCTGAGTCATGATTTACTGTAAAGAACAAGTGCTGCTTCCTGGAGATCATTTCAGCCACTGATATTATAGGAAGTGCTTTTCAATTCCCTTTATCTTTATCTCAAGAATACAAGAAAACGTTATTAATCCCAAAGGGAACTTAAATAAAAATGTTCAAGCTTTTCAAGCTCCAGGAGAAATTGTGTCCCTCTTTTTGTTTCAGGTTGTCTCTCTAACACAGCTCTATAGTCTCCTTAGACCTGGTGACCTTATATAAAGGAGAAGTCACGACCTCTGACACTCAGTACAAACACAAAGCATTGCAGCCTGTGCACATCCACACAGCCCAGATCATCCCTGCGGACTATTGTTTAGCGCCACCTACCGGAAGCGGCGCGCAATGGTTTGTGGGATTGTTTGGGGGCAAACAAAAGAAAAGTAAACAATGGGACAGGTTATAAAAGTTTAAAGTTTGGATTGTTGTGCATTTTAAAATGTTTTTTTGTTGTTGTTTCGTGAGATGCCAACTTGTAATCAGAAAAAAAGACAGACTCATCCAGAACTTTTACCTGCTCTAATGTTGAAATTAGTGCCTAAAACAGCAACCTGGAGATGCAAAAATACAGGTAAGGTTATACTGCTGTGCTATATTTTCACTATTAATATAATGTAGTAATTACTATAGTATGGTACTATGTTATATCTATTGCCAGAGAAAATCCCAGTAYACAGTGATCATATTAACAATGCTGAGCAGTGGGGCTGGGTGATAAACATTTAATCTACATTAGGGTTGGGCAATATTGGCAGAAAAATAAATCATGATTAATTGTGGTATTTAGCCGATAACGATTAATTTGACGATTAATCCCCTGGACATCCTTATGTCCTGGTCACATGACCAATTTAGTGGGAAAGATTTGATCTTCATAAAAATCTGTTCCAAGTTGTGTCAAAATTACAGTCTTCAGGCTATACATCAAATTTTAAATTGTGTTGATAAATAAATGACAGAACTTTATTTTAATGTTTGTCATATTTGAAGCAGAGAGGAGCACCAAGCGGACTCTGCCTGTTGACGTTAATTGTATTAATTGTCAAGTGCCAAAAATTAATAGATTAATGTTTTTCTGACGATTAATCACACACGATACGATTATGCCCAACCCTAATCTACATATAATCTTGAGGCAGGCTGACCTATGATTATTAAATTCTGTGTTTAAAACATTCTTTTGGCCGCACATCAAATTTGGATTAAATATTAATTCAAAACATGTATTTTTGTTTTAACGGTGGTAAATGCATTTGTTGTTGTGATCTGTAGCTTTCTGTATGGTGTATTGTCCTGATGCATCTCAGTAATCCAGGTAAAAAATCTGGAGGCAGGACTCAAAAGCCTGAATTTTGCCTGAAACTCTCAGACTGAAGAAGTCTCTTGGAAGAGAGACGAAACGTTTCATTAGAGAAGAACCCGTCCAGAAGACATACAATTTTTTTTGTATGGTATATTATTAATAAACCATGCACCGTTATATGGTTGTTTTTTTAGGTAGTCAGTACCTATATTTGTAATATTAAGTGGTCAAAATCATCTCTAGTCAGTAAATATGACACGCAGCCCAGATCTCTGTAAACCACTTCAACATATTTAGCGCAAGATCTACTAGACCGMGTAGAGACAATCTTGTGTTTTCATTATTCTATATATTCAAACGTTTTCATGTGTCTGTGATCATTGTTGCACATATACACATGTAAAACACAGCACATGACCCATTTTCAGTCATTTAATTCACACACCAGCACCGGATGCCTCCAAACTGGACCATGATGCTATGCGCTAGGCAAAGATGCTGGTATCTGCGCAATAGTCCACGGGTTTTGAAAACTAAGCACAGCGACGTTAAAAGCTGTCATAAACGGGTTGTTTTGTGTGTTTTTGTCCTCAGTCCTTCATCACCACCATGGCTTCTCGAGCTGGTCCGAGAGCGACGGGCACAGATGGCAGTGACTTTCAGCACAGGGAGCGCGTCGCCTCTCACTACCAGATGAGGTTGGKTCGGTCCCGTTAACACAAACCTCTCTGCAATTTGTCGCTCTTTGTAATGATTTTTTGTTTCCTCTGATCCAGTGTAGCTCTGAAGTCTGAAATCCGTAAACTCAACATTGTCCATCTATTGATCTGGGTGCTGATGGCTGCTCAGGTGAGCGCCAATGTTTCAGGATGTGTTTGGAGTTTAATAAAAAAAAGGACAATCAACCTTCAAATCTAACGTTTTGTTTCAGGTGACAGTGAGCCAGCTGAGTCTCGTCTCTCACAAGGTGGTAGCCTCTCCATACCAGTGGGAGTACCCCTACCTCCTGAGCATAGTCCCCACAGTCTTCAGCTTCCTGGCGTTGCCTCGCAACAACATCAGCTACCTGGTCCTGTCCATGATCAGCGCCGGGCTCTTCTGCGTGGCGCCGCTGATCTACGGCGGCATGGAGATGTTCCCCGTGGCCCAGCAGCTTTACCGGCACGGCAAAGCCTACCGCTTCATCTTCGGCTTCTCCGCTGTGTCGGTGATGTACCTGGTGATCGTCATCGCCGTGCAGGTGCACGCCTGGCAGATCTACTACAGCAAGAAGCTGCTGGACCAGTGGTTCACCAGCACACAGGAGAAGAAGAAGAAATAAACTTCTGAGACGTCCCAGTAGTTCGGACAAGTTGGAGCTGAGGATTTTTGTCTGAACTATTCGAGGAAAGAGACTCAAAGAAGCTGATTTTTCCCTCCTTATATATTTGTCGGTGATGATTTCATTGTTTGGAGGAAGAAAAAAAAGTTTGGACTGTGTTAATTGTTGCCTTCGCTGTACATGAGTTTCCCTGTCATTTCATTCTTTGTTTAGAGTCCAAACTGTAAAACTGCAAGAATACAAAAGGACAACAGGTCATCAGATGCATCCGATTAAACCAAGAATCAGCAATGGATGCAATTCACCAAGTTGGTTTGTTACCATCACCTTTAATGTGCAATAAAATCACTGAAACGTCATCAAATACATTTTGAAAAAACATTTACCCTCACACCAAATCCCACAACCTGTGACTATTATATTGTTTTAAATCTGCAGAATTTTCAAAATAAAAACAGTCAAAAATATTGATTCAAAAATGTGGTATTTCTACATTAAACCCACAAAACAATAACACAAAAAAACCACTAAAGAACAGATGAACAGTAGTAATCACATCACAATCCACAGCCATCAATACAAAGCAGAAAAAATAAAAAATCTGGGTATAAAGCAGGTTTAATGTATCCTGATTTAACTGGCTCATTCCTAACAATTGTTTCATAAAGCTAATTTTTAATTCAAATTTTAAGTAATAAGTTTAACATTTACAGAATAAATGTAAATTATGAACAAATTGCCTCATGTTCAAAATTACATGTTTTGATTCATCTATAGAAGAAAAGAAATGCTTTCATTTCTCTGCTTTAAACTTTGTGCATTTTAGGGAAAAAATCTGTAAAAATATCTTAGTTTGAGAGGTCATTTGGTGCTGTAAAACATGGTTTTTAAATCAAAATAACAAAAAATGAAACAAAGCAAATTGTTGGCCTTCAAAGTTCAGATAATATATATTTTTAGTAATTAGTCTAACACATGCTGACCTAATGTACAGATATTTTATCATTTTGTGATGATTTTATTACAAAATGTAGATTAAATTTAAAAACACAAAGGACTCACTAGTCATTTCTCATTTCAAGATGCTTCCATGGAAAAATCAAACTTTTCTTTATAAAAAACTTTTTTTTCCTGTCAGAGCAATAAAGTTGCTTCAGTCTCCACCCCACCAAGAATATTTTTTAAATCTCAGTTTACTCCTGAGCTGTTTGTGTTTTTCTGCTTGCCACAGGCATAAAACAGTAATCAGTGTTGAATTTATAATTAACCTCTTACTTCCTGCTTCATACTTACAGATCCAAGAAAAAAAAAAAACTTGTATAAACATTACAAAGTAATGAACAACATGGAAATGTTTCACTGAAACAACCAGCATCTGCCGCGTAACGGCAGATATTTTATAAAGCCGACTGTCTAACTGACAGTGTTCTGTGAAAGTTTACTTAAACATGAACATATTTCCCCTTCAGCACCTGCCGCACCTGCAGACAAGAACACAAAGCTGCAGGTTAGTTTTAGGGGGGGATAAAAAAGCTTTTCTGATTTTAGCCTACATACATCTTTCTCCACCCAAAACTCTATTCAGACTTTCATCCATTTTGCTCATGTTACATTTGACTGAAACAGAACAAAACTAAAGCCACACCTCCAGGATCAGTTTCACAGTTTCCACTGATTTCCTGTTATATTTAACCAMAGCACCAATATTCAAAGAAGCCATGAAGATTAGTTTTGTGCAGAGTGATAACTGAAGAAAAATAAATTTAAAAAATGCTTTCAGCAGGATTTTTTCTTCCACATAACTCATAAAAATGTTTTAATTGTGCAGTGAAGGTCTTTGTGGAAACAATTTGAACACAACCCACCTTTTCGCCCACAGGGCCCTCGGGCACCAGCTGACACGGCAGCTCATTTTCATAATTCCTTGCCCCCGGATCAGCGCCTTTCCTCATCAGCAGCTTCACGGCTTCCACTTGATTCTTGTAGTTTTGCAGAGAGCTGACGATGTGAAGGGCCGTGTTTCCACTGAACGTCTGCAACGAACCAGGAAGGTATTTTCTCACACATCTTTTATTATCRTATTACACTTGCTCCTTTTTTTTTGCCTTGTAAATCTGGGGGTGCACCGTACTTTATTATAAAATTTTTTTAAAGAAAACACAAACCTTGACGTTCACGAAGGCCAGTGACGTCGGCTGTTCGAGAAAGATGTTGAGCAGCTCCACATTTGCATCCTCAGATGCTATGTGAAGACAAGTTCGTCCACTTTTCAGATCCTGGTGATGAAAAATATTACAAAACCTCACTTTTGTGGCCTCAACCCTAAAAAAACATTATATGGGTAGTTTGATAGAATGTGTTTGTGGAAAACACTGCAAATGTAGCCAACAATGACAAGTACTGATGTGCAAATGAAGCAACGAACCAGTGTTAAACCACTTCAACTGTACTGATGGGATGCAGATCAGCACTCGTGAGTTTTAAGACCATGGTCCTCGCCTCATCCCAGACCTGGGTTGAGCTTCTTAAAATAGTAAAAGGCTAGTTTAAAGCTAAAAGTAGAAAAAGGCTAGCTAAAACGTGTAGAGTGGTAAGCTAAAAGCTAAGAATCAACTGGCTAGTTATATGGTAAAACCAGAGGTGTCAAGTAACTAAGTACAAATACTTTGTTACTTTACTTAAGTAGTAATTTTGGTTATTTATATTTTAGTGGAGTAATTATTTTTCAGACTACTTTTTACTTCTACTTCTTACATTTTAATTCAATTATCTGTACTTTCTACTCCTTACTTTTTAAAAATGCAAAAAGTATTTCATTTCTGTTTGACTTTGACTTGTTTTTATTCCATCTTTTCATTGTTCAGAAAGAAATTATTAAATATAAATATACAGTGGGGAAAAAAAGTATTTAGTCAGTCACCAATTGTGCAAGTTCTCCCACTTAAAAAGATGAGAGAGGCCTGTAATTGAC